CTCTTTAATCTACCCAGTGGGGACACAGACAGAAAAATAAGCAAAACAAGACAAAGGTTTTAACCCTTCTCCACCCAATAAAATAAATAATATAAAATAAAGTGTTGCCTGGCCTTCTATTCTTTACAGAATTTAATTTTTCATGAAATAGTTCTTGTGCTACATGAACAATTCCACCTCCTTATTTCTTGTCTACACGCCTCTTGTTTTTTCAAAGTACATAAAATGGAAGGTCCTGTCTGCACAGCCCTCCAGCGATATACATGCAAACTCAGTAATCACCCTACCTCTGAATAACGGCTGCCGAGTCATTCTCTCGCTTCCGTCTCTTCCTCTCGGCATAGCCTCGGAAGGCCCTGAGAAACCGGTTTGTGTCAAAAACTAGCCCAGCAAATGGGATACAAGCCAAAACAGTAGTACACTGGGTGAGTGGACATACCATGACAGGAGACAACACCGAAGCAAACCAAAGCTTCTGAACACATACAGGCAGAGAAATGAACACAACACAGACTAACACTGGTTACACACGATCCAACTAAGCAGGTGCTGTGATTCGATTCAAACGCCACTTGCAATGGTTGGCCCATGTAGAATAACAAGAGTATCTGGTAAGTCTCTGGTGACCAACAGGTAATATTTCCTTTTTCTATGGAGAAGAAGGAAGAGAGATTTCAACAAATGAACCTCGTCAACCCATCAGCCAAAATAGGGGAAAGACCTGTGAATAGTTTGCGACTAGGCAGATATCTTACTTCCTATCAGCGGCACAACTGTCCACTATTGGTCTCCTTTTGAGGCACAGCCAGACCAAAATATAAGGAGCAAGTAGCTATGGATAACAAAAGCGGAGCAGACAAGGTGGTCTATGTAAAATCAGAAAACTCTAGGAGTAGGAGATGAGTATTTGGTCTTGTGGTAGTAATGGACTGCATCTAACTGCCGGTTATCCTTTTTTTTCTGCTATTATACAGAGGTCACACAGTCCATGCATTATTCACTTAGTGCGTAATGTGGACCTGCAGGAACCTCTGGGATCACACATGGGTAGGGCCTACCATTAGAATCTGGGACTAGGCATGGGGGGAGGGGACAGGCAGCTTGCAATGAGGTCTTAGCAAGGCACTAAGCAGGAACAGCCCTGTGTACCTTGACTGCAGAGCCAATAGTCTCTATCTCAATTGAAAACTGAAAACCTAGTATTGATGACCTCCTTGTGAAAATGCTAGTTGTCTAGCTGTCTCTTTATCTATGGGCTATATATGCTGAGTCACTGACCAACGGGCATGCATGCAGCTAGCGAAGCCAAAGGAAAATTTATGACCTGCATACTTGTTGTGGGTCTCCAATAGGGACACAGACAGAAAAGCAGATTGAGGCTCTAACCTTCCCGTACTCTAATGTATAAACTGTATTAGTGCCCGTGTAGACACCCTTTTGTTCGACTTCTACCACCATTTATGTCTATGTGAATACAAAAGTGGCAGAAGCAGATCAAATTCATGTCAGCTTCATCTGCATTTAATTCTGAGCATCTCAAACGATGTCAAAACAAGCTTTATTTGTCCATCAATGCCATTTGACACAGGACCTGATCAAGTTGCCGTGCTAGAATGTCAGTTTTTTTGTGCTTTTCCTAACCCTGAAGTTCCAGCAGACGTTAGACTGAAATCCGTATTGCAGCATCTTCCCTAAACATAGGAAAGTTCACTAGGGGGGTCCATACACATAATTTTAAAGTCCATTTTACAGTCCCTCTCCTTAGATCCACATCCATGTGTAAAGGGATTGGGCAGGTTGGAATGCTCGATCTCTGTTATTCCCAAATAAGCAGGAGTTAAGACTCTTCACGTGACCCCACATCCTCTTATCAAAACAGGACACATGATACATAAAGAAAATTCCTGCTGATAGCAGATCAGATGGTTGGGTCTTGCATACACTTATGATGTCTTTGAACAGTTTAAACATTACATATCATCTAACTAGCAGGATGACCACTGGTTCGAGCCTGTCATGACATTTCGACGCTCTCTAAACACCAAAATGAAGCCACCTCATGGACTGGTAGAAGTCAAGCTCATTACACCAAATATGAATATAGAGGCAATATTTCTACATGTCAATTCATTTATAAAGCTTAGTGGGAGATGCAAGTTATCATATTAGAATATCACACATTCAAGGTCACTTTTCATTATTCTGGAAGTAGTATGTAACTACAGTATGTTATTAATCAGAAGAATCAGAACTGAGAGGTATCCAGGGGAGGTCTACTAGCGGACAAGTGGGAAAAACTACAATATTTTCTTTATAAAACCAGCAAAATTATTTATATAGGAGGTTGCAAATTTGGATTTGTGGAATGTTTGTATGGACAGCCTAAATCAACCAGTTATATTTCCATATATTCCCAGGTTATGTCTTTCCAAAGCCAAATGTTACACAGAGCAGAATAAGTGTTCATTAATGCTTATTTGAAAATAGTAACCCAACTTGTATTTAGCAAGTCAGTCCTAAAGAATACTGCTTCCCCACCCTCCCCTCTCATGCTTTTACACAATTTGCACAATTTCCATTGTTTCATAAGGTATGACAGCTGTATACATCAACACGGGAGACAGATCAACATAAACACAGCGTGCAGTTCTGTGAAACCAAATGTGCATGCATAGGGGGCTGTGGGGGATGGAGGCAAGCAATAGGGTTTACAATGTAGTCTACAATGCAGTCTTATTCAAGCAAATACTTACGAGATCCTGTTCACATTGAGAGGACGAGGAAGAAAAAAAAAGGTGACATTTAGTTACCCAACTGTCATGTTTGACAGACTGTGAAATGCATTTTCTTTTTATAGTCAGTTTCAAAAGAATGGAGAAAAACATGCTTAAAGATGAACTCCAGGCAGAAAAATTATTGTGTAAATCTTATAGCATTGTTACATTTACTTTTTAATTACAGCTAGTGTAAATAACTGAATATGTCTTTATATTAGATTCCTCTGATCTCTTGCACAGCAGAACTTAAGCTGATCATACACCCATAGTTTGCAGGCTGAACGAAAGAAATCTAAACCTCAGATGTCCACCCGTTGTCACAAACTCTGGCCATGGGAGAAGTACAGAGAAGCTGCAGAAATTGACCCCAAAGAATTTAGGGTCAAACCGAAAGCCATCACTCTTATCACAGGTAGCCCCATTCTGCAGAATTTATTGCACTTGCTGCATCCAGACTCACCAAACTCCTAGTGCCACCCAGTCATGAGAAGCTTGTAAATTCAAGAACAAATGTCTAGGCGACCTGTTTTTACCAGATATGAACCCAGTTTCCAGGTGTACATGGTTGGGATAACTTGATTAAGCCTGAGGGGAAGGATTTCACTAAAAATGTTACCAACTGTTTGTAGAAAAGATATAGCTCTATAGGGTGCTGGATCAAGAGGCTTTATTTGGCTTGGGTATAAGAATAAGTCTTCAGACAAAGATGATGGGAGTATTAGTCACATACTGTATATTTCTTTATATAAAGCCAGGAGTTGAGGGGAAAGTATCTCATCAATGCCGGGGCCTTGGCCCAATCAAATTTGGAAATGGCAGACTGGACCTCAGTAAGAGTACCACCTCAAGCATGAGACCATTAGAGTTTATAAAGTTTTTATTTCTTTCACTGTTTAAAAATTGGCTATTCTTGCTTTAACAAACAGTATATCACAAGTTGGTCAGGCACTTATTCATAACTTGGTGAGGCAATAGACCACAGACTGGAACCATTGCTGAAAAAATGTTTGAAGAACTCAATTATTTTGTCCCAAAAGACCCTTCCCGCAACAAATATTAGTGCCTTCATCCATCCTTGTCAAGGTATCATATTATGAGGCTGCCTTGTCTGCGCAGAAAGATGCTGACTAGAGCAGGTTTGTTTTCTGTTTTAAGGCTGGTCTCATTCTGTCAAGATCCATATATCTCTACGTATATAAAACTGCCATGTCAGCTCACTGGTTTAAACACAGGTGTGTTTAAACAATGGTGCCAGCTGACGATGGCCGAAGGCATCTTCCCAACGATGTCAAAAGTTCCTTTGACGTTTTGGCTCAGCAGATCATCCTGCAAACGGTAACTCTTCATCCCTGCAATGCTTAAGATTCTTCTTTTTCTGCATTGGCATTCTCGTATGAAAAGGTGCCGTATTTTGGTTTAGATTTTAGATCATAAATATGCATGCTCTAAAAGGGCAATTAAATACTTGGTTGAATCTAACATATACTGTATAAAAACTGTTTAGACAGCTAAATAATTTTTAAAGCAGTTTACTCTACTGGACTACTGAAAGCAGAATTCCATTAAAATAATGCAGCTTTTGCTTCAATACTCACCTTTGGTCCACCAGTGTCCTTCTCAGACTCCATGTTCAGTTCAAACTGCCCAAGCATCATTCAGAGCATCCCAATCATGGTCTACCCAACCTGAATAAGTACTTTAACCCCTCTTTTGCAAAGTGCCTAAAGCATTATTCTGGTAGCGCTGCCTTTTATACACAGAACTGTTCACTACATACCACCTGCTAATGCTATTATGGCAGGCACTCTCACCAGCAGATCTAAAATTGTAATGGGATGCATAGGATAGATGGAAAGGACATTAACTCCAAAATAAACTGAGATTACAGACAGCAATAGAGTCAGAAATTTTGGTAGGGAAATCTCATTATTGGAGCAACCAAGACAATAAAAAGTAAGAGGCCGATATTCTGGTGTTGTGAGCTATGAGTCTGCTAATTAGCAAACAAGAACACCTGTTGAGGTCATTATGAGGGTCACTGTATACATTTAATTCTAACCTGGAGTTCTTCTTTACATAAGGAGTATATCTGTAATTATATAACAGAACACAGTAATGTTTAAACAACATGATTCACAAACATTTAGGTTATATTGACTAAAGAGAACTTGTGTTTGTATGTGTGGTGGGGTATCTAAGGAGACATTGGAAAGCTATACTTACGCTTGCATAGTTGTGGTGGCGGTCTGAAAGGTGAAGAGATTTTCCTTAGGAAACCAAGTCCGTACAGGGACATCATCTGTGAATAGAGAGGCAGACACCCTTCACAAACCTGCCATTATCCCCCAGTCAGAGTGACATCTTCATATATTTTGGTAGGTTAGAAAACATGATATTTGGATACAGACAAGACTTTCTGAAAGACTAAATGTCATTCAGTTAGGGTTTATATCAACCTTTAACTTTTTTACCCAGAGAAATTATCTTCAGGTCTTGAGGAACCTTGGCTAAAACAAATTGAGAGTCAGTGGGAAACATACATCTTACATTGGTGACTGTGAAAAGAATGCCACTCTTACAGATGGCTAAACAGATCATTGGTGTCCTGAGATTGGCTTTGCCAAGTGGTGTTGGCCCTGGAACTCTGCAGGGAAATGGGAGGTCAATCAGACACAGCTCAAAGGACCCATAGCCAACTCTGGCTGGTTTACATCTGCTGTAAAAAAGGAGGATTGCAGATGCTCATTATTCTCACACTCCAGGAAATCTGTTTTATTTCCAACTAACGTTATAAAAAATAATAGATCCATATTCTCTACATTAAACAAGAATACTGTTAGTGGAAAAGATGGAATAGACCACAACTGAGTCCATTAAAGAGTAATTTAAGGCAACAAAATTTAAAAAATGAAAGACAGTTTAAATCTGATTGGGGGGTTTTAAGAAATTTCTTATATACAGTAACTATTTTTTTTATTTTGTTTTACATCAGTGTTTCTGTATGTGAAAGGCAGCAAGTAGCCTGAGATAGGTATGTTCAGGAATTTCTTCTGCAACCCCTGCTGGGTTCCCAAGTTACCAACAAAAGTGGAATTGTGCAACTAGCTTATTTCAACAGGGAAGGCCCACAAACAACTTTAAATCCAGGAAGAGGTGCCCATTATGAGACAAACACATCACTGTGTGCAACTCTAAGTAAGTTTGTGAAAATGGCCCATTTGTGACATTACACAGTGAAGGCCTATATCTCTGACTCACCAGACACTCTGTCGATACTGTACATGCGTTCCAGCTTTTTCCTACGCCAACCGGATTCGCTGGCTTGGTGCTGCTCCAGATCAAACGAGTGTTGGGCTGGCACCGTAAGCTTGGCACAGTTCGGGCACTCCTTGGAATTCTGCCGGCTGCCTGACCAGCTTTTACAAGGCCTAGTGATATTGTGGGCACTGCCTGAGTTTTGCAGGGGTTGGTGATGATGACTGTAATGATGGGAGTGATGGTGCTCTCTCTCGTCTTGGTCTGTCTTCATCACCACCAGCTCCATGCTATCACTCTCGTGGTCGGACAACATGGGCCTTTCTCCAGAGATAGTGTAAACACGAGGCTTGGGGCCCTCACTGGGCACCTTCTCGCCACGTTCCTCAGAAAAGCTTCGTTCTAGCTTGCTGTCAGATATGGCTGAAAGACGACGTTTGTTCTGAGACCCTTGGAGCATTTCCGGGGAATCCTCCTGTACAAGGAGATGGTCTGAAGGGAAATCAGAAGAACAAATGATTAAAGTTAAATTTGGAAATCTACAGATCCCTATTTTTTCTTCTTTTAGAAAACCTTGCATTATGATTGCCTTAAAAAACCCTAGTGGTGTTGTGTGTTTATGATATCCTTTGAGTATTTCCTGTGTATAAAAGTATTCTGGAACTGCCATACATGAAGCTGAAATCCTCATAAACAGATAAATACATAGCCAAAATGAATAAATGTGAACATTCCTGCCAAAGGGTATGCAATGCTAGACCAGGCCAATGACCTCACTTTTCACTATGACCGTTATGTAAGGCAGCTTGGTCAACAACAAGCCTGCTGCTTTCTAAGTAGACAATGAAGGAGTATCAGAACACTCATGAGGTCATTACTCTGCTCTCTTTAGATCAGTAAGCTTACAATGTTGGATTGATAGAACTTTGCATTCCATTGGTGCCTGTTTGGTTCATTGTGTTATCCCTCCCTCTCCCAGTCCTGCTGTGCAGGGAATGAGAGCAAGCTAAAAAAAATTCTGCCAGATTTGGGTGTTTATTTGTATTCCTTCTGGAAAGATAAAGTATGATTCATGGTATCAGGTATACAGTTCAAAATATATATTCTAAACTGATGTATATCAATCACATTTGAGACCTTCATAACCCCCTTTGCTAGGAATTTTTATGTAACTTCAGAATACAGAGATGTCTGAAGGGTAAAAGGAGAAAAAAAAAAAGACAATCGTATATCTTCAACTGTAACCAAGAGACATGCTTTGAATAGAAACTACTTAATATATGCCTCATCTAGTTCACTGCATGGCAGCTTATGAATGGTATTGATTTATTGCAACCCTAAAGGGACTGGCGTAAAGAATAAGAGGAAGAACGTAACAGAAAAAGGAGGGAGGAAAACTCTGAAGGCTTTTATAGTGGTTTTCAGTATATTTCCATTTTATGTATGGTATGGTGGGGACTACATTGATGTTTAATTTTTTTAATCAGATAAATTTGAAATGTAACATATAAACATTTAGTATTCTCCTTTTTAGCCAGCAGGTGGAACTCTAAGTTCATTTTCACATGATTTTCCATTATCTGTTTTAACAGGGTTAAAAAGCTTAATAGCGCAAGCTAAAATTACATAGATACAGCTATGAGGAATAACTCCTCTCCCCTTCACTGTCTCTTAAAGTGGTAGTAAACTCTTCTGTAATAATGTTACCTACAGGTAAGCTTATAATAAAGCTTACCTGTGGGTAAAATAAATATCTCCTAAACGTGCACCGATTAGGAGATATTAGCCCTTTTTGATAGCTGGCGCATGCACTGTGCTGTGGCCTGGGACTCCCGTGCGCATGCATGGGAGTGACATCATCGTGGCTTGGCCAGTCAGTCAGCCAGAGCTCGTGAACCTGGAAGGAAGACCGGGTGAAGATGGAAGCCCCAGGGACCTCAGACAGCGCTCCACTGGAGGGCTTCGTTTCAGAGAAAGTCCTTCATAATGTGCTAGTATGCAATGCAATGTTTTTCTAAACAAAATCCAGCATGTTGGATCAGGCACTTTCGATTGCGACATAAAATTTGTGTGTCCCAGCTGGCACACTAATTAATCAAATAACAAATGACCAAGAATTTGTGTTCGGTTTTTGACTCCTATATGGCCTGCTTATGACTTAGCCCATGCAGGGAAAAGTGACAGCGGCATCTCCCGATACTCTTATACTTACCTTACCTGTGATCCTTTGCACCTCCTTGCTCCGCCACTCCCCTTTCAATGTGACAGTGCTCAAGCCTACTTAACAGCTGCTAGTCCATGGCACTGGTTCAGGGGACTATGTCATATGCGCTCCCATACACAGAAATGCTGAAGAGGTCATTGTTGTTCTTAATGATAGGTTCCTGGTAGTATTGGTATCAGAATAGGTATGTTTACTTGATGTCTGCCTTTTTCAGTACTCTATACAGCAGAGCTTAACCTAGGAGAAAGGGGAGAAGGGCAGTACTTGGAGCCAATCGGGTCCAGCTACATGCACATTTAGCCCAATCACAAGCATAGTGACCAACTTGCATTTCTCTAACTGTAGTAGGGAAAAGTCAGGTCACCAACCTGACTGTGCTGTCTGGATAGCAAAGTAAACCTCAAGACTGGATGGACAGAAATACAAATCCTTTGGCAGGTAAAACCTCTCCCATATACTGTATGTATTTCAACTGTGTATTGTAGCTGTTTTCTTGGAGTTGACTTCTAACTAATGGTGTATTTGTCTAAGCTTTGTGATATCCTACAACCAATACTATTGCATTTTCAGAAGAAGCATTAAAATGTCAAAGCCAGGATAACTTGTAATTACAGTTGCAGATAACACTACTCAGAATTTTTAATTAGGAGAAGAGCAATGGTCTAATAATAGGTGGCACCAATCACGCCGGCACTGAACCAATAAGCACAACATATTGGTTTAATGAATGTTTATGGAGGCCCCCCAGTGTACAGTGCCTTGAAAAAATATTCATACCCCTTGGAATTTGCCAAATTTTGTCATGGTAAAATCCCAATAAAATACATTTACGTTTTTGGTTGTAAGTGATAGACCAACACAAAGTGGCAAATAATTGTGAAGTGGAAGGAAAATGATAAATGGTTTTCAAATTTTTTTACAAATAAATATCGAACAGTGTGGCGTGCATTTGTATTCACCCCCTTTTACTCTGATACCCCTAACTAAAATCCATATGTGTGTAATTTAATCTCAGTATAAATACAGCTGTTCTGTGAAGCCCTCAAAGGTTTGTTATACAACATTAGTGAACAAACAGCATCATGAAGGCCAAGGAATGCATCAGACAGGTCAGGGATAAAGTTGTGGAGATGTTTAAAGCGGAGTTGGGTTATAAAAAAAAATATCCCAAGCTTTGAACATCTCACAGAGCACTGTTCAATCCATCATCCGAAAATGGAAAGAGTATGGAACAACTGTAAACCTACCAAGACATGGCTGTCCACCTAAACTGACAGGACGGGCAAGGGGAGCATTAAGCAGAGAAGCAGCCAAGAGGCCCATGGTGACTCTGGAGGAGCTGAAGAGATCCACAGATCAGGTGGGAGAATCTGTCCACAGGAAAACTATTAGTTGGCCTTTATGGAAGAGTGGCAAGAAGAAAGCCATTGTTAAAATAAAGCCATAAGACGTCCCGTTTGAAGTTTGTGAGAAGTCATATGGGAGACACAGCAAACATGTGGAAGAAGGTGCTCTGGTCAGATTAGACCAAAATTTTACTTTATGGCCTAAAATCAAAAAACGCTGTGTATGGCAGAAAATTAACACGGCACATTACCCTGAACATACCATCCCCACCGTGAAACATGGTAGTGGCAGCATCATGTTGTGGGGATGCTTTTCTTCAGCAGGGGCAGGGAAGCTGGTCAGAGTTGATGGGAAGATGGATGGAGCCAAATACAAGGCAATCTCAGAAAACCTGTTTAGAGTCTGCAAAAGACTTGACTGGGGTAGAGGTTCATCTTCCAGCAGGACAACGACCCTAAACATACAGCCAGAGCTACAATGGAATGGTTTAGATCAAAGCATATTCAAGTGGTAGAATGGACCAGTCAAAGTCCAGACCTAAACCCAATTGAGAATCTGTGGCAAGACTTGAAACTTGCTGTAAACAGATGCTCTCCATTCAATCTGACAGAGCTTGAGCTATTTTGCAAAGAAGAATGGGCAAAAATTTCCCTCTATAGATGTGCAAAGCTGGTAGAGACATCCCCAAAAAGACTTACAGCTGTAATTGCAGTGAAAAGTGGTTCTACAAAGTATTGGGACACCGGAGGGCTGAATACAAATGCACACCACACTTTTCACATATTTGTAAAAAATGTTGAAAACCATTTCTCATTTTCCTTCCATTTCACAATTTTGTGCAACTATGTCTATCACATAAAATCTCAGTAAAATACATTTGCATTTTTGGTTGTAACATGACAAAACGTGGAAAATTTCAAGGGGTATGAATAAATTTTCCAAGGCACTGTAGAAGCATTTTGATGTATGCATTTATATATTCTAATTTATCCTTGCCTCTTTTTTCTCTGCAGAAAGCAGTCACTCATTCACATCAGTCCTGCCTCTGTAAAAAGCTAAAACTGGGCGTACTCAGAGCAATTCCAGATGAACTGTGCCGTGGGCGGCCTTTTTAGCACTCTCCTCCCACTCGACGTCCTTCAAACTAAAAGCTGAAGGAGCTAGGTGGGGACATTTTGACCGAACAGCAGCTGCAGCCAATCAGACGCAGTCACTGTTCAGGTACTCCATGCAGTGTATTCAGTATACAATAGCTGGCAATACAGATACTTCCATTCATGTTCTTTGCATAGATGGAGGAAGCCATGGAGGCTTTTAATATTCTAAAACAGTAAAGGCTTATTGAGGCTTTTAATCTAAAAAACAGTAATGTTTTGGAACAATAAATGGCTCAATAAGCAATAACATAACTTTCTGGTGTGCATTAAATAATGTTCAGCTCATCCACTTGTGAATGGCAGTGCAGCTTTGATTCCATGTCCCTTCACTCAGAGCCAACTTCTTGGTGTCAGCAGCCAAGAGGTCAGCCGCTTGCGGTGGTACAATACGACCGTGCAGGAAGGCTGAATAAACATGATCTTTGTAGCGGTATTTCAAGTTGGCACGGAGTTAATTAAAACTGGAGTAGCAATAATTAAAACCAGCTTAGGTGCAATCTCCGCTCACAGCTTTCAGTGCTCTGCAGCATAACAGAGAAGGAAAAG